TTGATATCTCTGTAAAGAAGACGCATTGTAAACTTGAATTATTAGGATAAAACGTTAAAAGAAATTGGTGGAGTAATAAATAAAATTTCATTCTGCAAAAGATGATAAACAATTGCAGCTAAACTGATTTATTACCCAGTGAAGCATGAAAAAGGAGGCAAAACGTAACTGAAACGAACGAACAACGAATAATCATAAACAAATGAAAATTAATTTCTTTACGTGTGTTACCAAATTAACATCAGAAGATTTGTAAACGAATACAAAATGTGTACAGAAATCGTTCGTCAAATAATAAGGGTTGCAGTGGTAGGATAACACGAAGTAATTTCTATTGTTCTAAAATAAATAGGTTCAAAACTTTAGAGGCGATCCTTCTTTTGAATTAATGTGATAATATCAAACGAAGTTAACGTTGATTTATTAAATATCACAATATTATGATATATAAATTGATCTAATATGATCTCAACGATAAAGCATGGAGGAGGCTTCACGCTTGTAATGTTCTGGGGTTATGTGGCTGCCAATAATATTGATAATTCTGAATTTATTGAAATAACGATGAACAAGAAGAATTATCTAAATATTTTGTGATCCTAGAAAATTGAAAATTTTAGCATGACTACTTATTATTCTAAAGTATTCATGTATCGTATTATTTATATCACTGGTTTATTACAAACCGTAGGTCTATCTACTCAATGAGTCACTTTAACGTAAACTTATTTACATGATAAAATCGAAGCATACATTTATTTCTTCATTCTTATCGCCGCTCTGATCTAGTATCGCAACTCCACTGTGAACATACCCTTCGAGCACACCTTGACATATTCTCGTTCCAGTTGTTTTATCATCATAATATTCAAAAAAAGATCATAAAACAAGGAGTACATAGCCAGTAACCACGTTACTGTCCTCAATTTATCTATTCATTTAAAATATTACTAAAAAAAATAGGACTGTACTAAATGGAGACTCGAAAAGAAATTCTTCGATTTCAAATTCCAACTATTCTTAACAAGAACTAAGCAAAAAAAAATCGAATAGGGCAGTTCTGAAAACCCGATCAAGTGAAAGGAGACCCGAAATACGTGGCAAAGTTAACGAAAGATCGAACATCGAGAAAACTTGGTTAACACGCTGAACGCCGCACGATTCCAGAGAGCAAAATACACGAAATGGAAAAAATATGATATTAAATCATTCGATTGAATTGCATTGTTGTTAATGCATATTCATCAAGCTGAATGTCACCGCATTAAATAGTAGTATTTATAATGTAGAAATGTTCACAAATAATCATCGTCTTACCAGTGACTCCCACGGCATTCAACGTGTCAATAACAAAGGCAAATGGTATTGGAAATAATTATCAATGATTTAGTATTACAGTCGTCACATTACGCTATGATCTAGCTACTCATGTTACTAAATATTTCTATTTAACATCGATCTTTCTATTGCAATCGTTCCTCAGCAATTTGGAAGCTCCGATCATCGGTGACCACGGTCAACGTGTTAAAGTTAGATAACACGTGAACAATTCTCGGCGACTATTTCAAAAGAACAAACACACGAAATTCCCTTGTCCTACTTTCATCCGGCAAAAGAGTTTCGTGTTATTCTTCGAAAACAATCGTCGCCGCGACATTTTCCCGCTCGTTACGTATTTGCCCTGAAGGGTGGATGCGGTCCGCCATGTTTCCTCCGATCGCCACGGTTCCCCGTGTTCGATCGGGATAAACGGGCCCCGGAGTGATGGGAGACGCGGACGGTTTCGTCAAAATTTTCTTGATTTACTGGAAGCAAAAGGGTGTATATTCTGTAGCACGCCAGGCGTAACCGGCGTCGGGAATTGGGTGCCGTTCACGAGCAGCGGCGGAGCAGCAGTAGCAACGGGGGATAACAGCAGCTAGAAACGAGCAGGAGGAGAGGTTGGAAACTGTGATGCCTGCAAAAACCACGGCAGACAGCGCCGATCGTTTTTGCTTGGCGTCAGCCGCGTTCCTACCACCGCGTTGTACTTCGTGGTGGTACATCGCTCCCTCTCTTCGTTCTCCCTTTCTCTGCCGTTCTCCTCGTCGCTCTCGCTCCCCCGGCCCTTGTCTTTCTCTCGTCCCGGTCGCCCTCCCCTCCCTTCGCCGTTCGTTCCCTCGCTGCGCTAGCCTTTCCTATATTCCATTCGCCTCGAAAGATCGCGCAAACGGATGGGATTACCTCCACCTTCTACAGTTTACGCATCCAGGAAAATAGATTACATTGTTGACTCGAAGGATACGACGATATCCTGCGCGACGCATTGATAACGAATACGCTGCGTCCCCCGAAGTCAAGGGCCCCGGGCTCTCTTGCTAAATTATATTGCACGGCCGATCCTTGGTCTTCGTTTAACCGAGCTCTTGCCGCTGGAGCTACCGAACAGTTGAATTGGGCTTCTTGAATGTCGTGTGGGAACTGGTAGATTTATTGGCTTTTCGAATTGCTTATTGATTCGACGCTAGAGCTACCAAGCATTGAATTGGGTTTCTTGAATTTTCCTGTAGACTGGAAAAGTAGATTTATTGAGATTTTTAGTTACTGGCTAGAGTTACCAAACAATTGAATTGGATTTCTTGAATTTTCCTGCAGACCGGAAAAGTAGATTTATTGAGATTTTGAGTTAATGACTTAATGCCAGAGCTACCGAGCAGCCGGCTTGTTTTTCTTTAATGTTCGTGTAGAAACTGTAAAAGTAGATTGATTGAGATTTCGATTAATTTACATTTCAATTTACTTGTTACTGAATTAGTTTTAGTGATTGCTTAGAGAAACAACTTTATAATATCAGTAACTGTGGGAGAAACTAGAAATGAGTCATTTCGATTAATGTTAACGTTAATGAGTTTAGTCGTGCTGATGAAAGTTTTGGTATAGATTCTTTCACTATCTACAATTTCATGCTTGACGTGTTTTCATTCAGCTCTCGATCAGTTGTAGAAGAAAATGGTTTTCTTCGCTCGCGTTTCCGAAGTAATAAGGGTGAAGCGGTAAATGATACTATGTACTTTATTATTAGAACGTGATTAAAAATGAATATTACCTTTCCCGTTGAATAAAAGAAACGATCTGTCCATGTTAAATCCAGTGATAAGGGACGTTTCTCTGTACCATGTCATTTTCCTGTCTAATTATGTTATCTATTATATCTTTTGTAAATTTCAATACAGAAAGGTAATAAAATCATATGATACTTTCAGTGAATATTGTCCGAAATAAATTGATATTTCCTGTATTTTCAAATAACCTCTTTGAACATAAAGAACCGAAACATTATTCCAAATAACATATCTTTTGTTTGACCGAAATAGTTATTTTTAAGTGAGAAAAACGATGGTTGTCACTTTCCACTATACAATTCATATTTATAACTGTATAATCAATATTCTACAAATACGTTAACATAACTGAAAACTAAGGTATTTATTTACAAAAACAAATGGAATTTATTGAATGAAATTTAAACCTACATATATGACAAATCATTTCCAAAAACGTCGAATTTAAAAATTTATTGAGATAAATCGATTCTATTCTATTTCTCTATCATTCGTCATTTATACTTGTATTCTGCAGGTTTTTATGTTTTTCGTTTACCAATATAAAATTATTATAAAAAACACACTGTAATCGACAATAATTTAAATATTCGAACTTCCACTATGAAAGAGAACTTCTTTTAGATGTAAAACCTATCTAAAACCAGAGAATTGATATTATAAGATTAAAATTGAAATTACACAATTATCGTATACTTTTGTCAATTCAGTATCAAACTTAACCCTGACCAATATAAAATTATCATAAACAATACAGTATAATTGACGATAATTTAATCATTCGAACTTCCAATGTGAAAGAGAACTTCTTTTAGATTTAAAAGCTATCTAAAACCAGAGAATTGATATTACATAATTATCGTATATTTTTGTCGATTCAATACGACATTTTTAGCAACAAAATCATACAGGAATTCTAATCTTCCGCGTTTTCCACGCAAATATGGTTTCTCGCTGGTACTCGGTCCGAGAGTCGTCTTCGCAGTCCCTGACAACATTGACTAATGGTCACCGCGGGCCCGCCCCTCCCGAATTTTATACTTCTCTTTGCACATACATGAAGAAAGTAAAAGAAGAAGGAAAGTAGATGTTTAAAAAAACCCTGGGAAAGAGAAGGGGAAGGAAGAAGAAACTTAAAAGCATTTGGGAAGAAAAAGGGGAAGGGGCAAAGAAAGAACGATGAGACACGGAAGAACAATAGAACGGGAAGAATAAATATTACAAAAACATGAAGAATGCTAGGCGACAATGAAATTGAAGTTCGAATGCAGAAACGGAAGAACGTCTTCAATTTTTACAAACAATTGGGGAAACCTTATATTGCGTTGTGATGCGCACAAATTTATTTTGTTAATTGAATGTAATCTAAGTAAATAAAAAATTACTGATCCTTTAATTTTAAATGCGATATTAGATAAGAGAATTTTAGTTGCAAGTATTTTTTTAAAAAAGCAATAAATTATTTATCCTTGATATCCAGGAAATCACCTTGAGTATAATCATTTTCAACAGTTTCTGAACATCACATTGACTTCTATGTATGTTGTTATTAACAGTTACATATTCGAAGTGATGTAAATTGATACCAATAAATTTATACAACTGCTGAAAAATATTCGATTAACAATGAATATGGTTCTTCAGTGACGAAAATAGAAATGAATGCTAGACGTATGATCATAATTATGGTGCAAGTTAATTGCGAGTTTTCGCGCAAAGATAAATTGAAAAGTGTGAAATAAATTTTCTTCGTGTGCGGTTTACTTCTCGGAAAAATTAATTTTAATAATACTTTGAGAAACTATGCTATTGTCTGGCAAACATGAAACAGGAATGTTACGTGATGCATAATTAGAATATTTAATTCCACATTAATGATGAATGCTTTTTGAATTTCAGTAAACAAGCTGTATTCGACGGGAAGAAAGCCATTAGAGGGGGTATACCATTTGTTTTCCGTAAGTATGGGGCACAAAACGACACGAATAAATTAAATCTTATAGAAAGCACACAGCAAATACATCTATTTCAAAGTAATCGTTTCTGACTCTCGCAATTATCTTTTTATCAGAAAGAAAGCCTTCCGTTATCGCAATCCAGTAATTACGATTTCAGTGCGTGAAAATATTAATTGTATATTGTTTTCACTTGAATCAGCGCAATTCGGAGCATGGACGTTCGGGCCACCCCATGGATTCGCAAGGATCGTCCGTTGGAACGCGGAAAAGTTACCCGAACGATTACCCAGCGGTGACGTTGAGGCAATATTCTCTATAATGGATAGCGAATTCACCCGGTCAATGTGGAATTACCCCTTTAGGTTAACGTACAGACTAATTCTTCGGGAAAAGGAGCTGCACTTCAATATCGCCGTGTACAACCCCAGCAAAGATCACGCGTTTAGCTTTAATCTGCTGTTGCACACCTACTTTAAAGTACCGGACGTTAGGAGATGTCAGATCACCGGTCTTCATGGATGCACTTTTATCGACAAGGTATACAACCGACGCGAACGTTTTCTGTCGTACCATTGTTTCCCTAACACGTTCGCGATCAACGTTTGTACCGGTAGCAATCTTCACAGTTACAATGTTTCATCAACACATTGTTGACCTAATGCTTCGACATTAACCCGTTGCTCTGCAATATCGTGTCAGACTCGTGGTGAAGATTTCAAGTAGCATTGAACAAACAAATATTATTTAACCCTTAGCACTCCAGGTTGTTTTGTAATCTATCAGCAACTGCAACTAATTTTTATAGTATTCCTAGCGAAAATGAGAAATGCTGTAACATTTCCTCGATCTTTTATTTTCCTTCTGAGTAGAAAATTTAGATGTGTGGAAAATCTAATAATTTTAGGGTAGTTTCTTTAAGATTCATTAAAATATTTAATATTGCAACTGCTGCGATATTGGAGCCTACAGAGTTCAAAGGGTTAATTTATTTGAATAGAAATTACATATTATTCCTGTGTTATCGATGATTATACCGTGGAGCACACGTTGACATAGAAAAAGACTGGAATTTTCTCTTATTTTCGATAAATTATTAAGAACAAAGTAGTTAGGTCGATTACAGTTCACGAAGAAATCATAGGGCAAGGGATTAAGGATTATCTGTTTGCCTTTACAGACGAGGGATAACCAAATCTTTCAAGAAGGCCGTGACGTAGTAACGGTGTGCGAATGGACGGACAGAATTTACCAGAACACACAACCAGAACACATTATCACTAATGTTGTATCCGGTAGAAAAATGCGGGTACAAAAGTACAATTTTCCGGACACGGTTGTGTGGAATCCTTGGCAGGAAAAGGCCCGCGATATACCTGACTTCGGTGACGATGAATTTCCAAATATGATATGCGTAGAAAGCGGACACGTTAGTAGTCCAGTGTTATTATCACCTGGAACAGCTTTTGAGGCCAGTCAAATCTTACAGGTAAAACTGTAATGTAACTTTTTCAACTAGAATTATCTTGTTGGTCAGTTAACACGTTGACTGCCGCGAAAAACATCAGCGTATTATGTATCACTTATCCTTTCTACAGCAAAGATACAAAGCAAGAATTATTAATTCTTTGATATGAAAATTCTTATATTACCATATTATCTAGTTATTTACGTTACGGAAAGTTTGTATTCGAAATCAATTATCTTCTTGTAATTTGAAAGCTCCGGTCATCGGTAACCGCCGTGCCAGTCAAAGTATTAAAGAGATAAGTGCAATACTAATTGTACTATAATAATATCTAATACAATATCTTCAAAATTAAGTAGAACGTTATATTTGAATCCTTTGTACTTAATAAAATCAAAAATTTAATATTAAGTTTTGTGTAACCTAACGATATGAAGCATTGAAATAAAATGTTCTATCCCTTAATTTATGCAACATGTTTGTTTATGTTAGTCGCGAAAAATATCATTGATTTTATTAGAAAGTAATGAATATTTGTAATGAGAAATATTGTCGAATACAAAGGTTAATGTGCTGTATTGTTAAAATTCAAAAGAGTTATTATATTCCGAATGTATATGTAATTATTGTGTTTATACGTTTCAGGTAATGTGAGTAGAGGGAGGACCGACTTCGCACGTAACAACCGGAAATAATTCCAATCCATTACATCCGGTCTCCTCTGCACCAGATACCGTCTGGCGAACCGGTGCTGGATGGCTATACATGCCACCACCTCCACCGCCACCGCCACCGCCGCCAACGTCCTCGGCACATCAATCGCACCTTCATGCGCATTGTATCGCTCAGACTTGCACTATATGTTCTCTTAATCTTTAAATCCTTACGTCTAGAAAGTCGAATGAAACCAATACAGATTCACTATACTCTCGGTTATCGCGACAATAGTTTCTTCCGTTTTTGGTATCGAATATTTCAGTACTAAGAACTGCAAAACATTTGTTATTGTACAAAAAGATTAGACACTACGTAGGTATTCGTATTTTATACTGAATAAAAATGTATCGATCACTCTAGAATTTTTGGGATCATTGAAATTTTGTTGCCACAGGAGTTTAAACAATTTTATACTCTTCAATAGAATTGGATTCAGATCCAGTTTGTTCAGACAAATACACTCCAGAGAAATGTAAACTCACCGAGGTTGAAGAATATTATTTTCCATTATTATAAAACTTTAGTGACATCGGTATATTCTTGATTTCTTTCTGTTTCTTTTTATTTTAAACGGAAGATATTTTAATGCTTTCGTTATTGTTGTTGTTTATCATCAAATGAAACATGGAACAGTCCTTAGTTCAATCACAACATTTTTTTCCAACATTTTTAGTTTGTTTAATGAACCTGTCTTGAAAAGTACTCCACCTTTGAGTACACAGTATGCATTATTGTTCGGACAATAAGTTTAATAATTATAACTTGGAGAAAAGTATAATTCCTAGTTATATTTTAACATGTGAGAAAAAATAATTCTCAATTCCCTTGTTACAGTTCCTTTCATAATTCATCTTTCATAATATTCTTTAGAATAATATTTGGAAAACTTGTGCATAACGAGATTTTGTTGTAATTTTTTTAAAAACACAAGATTTTGAATGCATTTTGTATCTGCTACTACTTTTAATGTTGAAGTATATCAATTTTAGGTAATTCTCTTGTAATACAAATTATCAATACATTCATATATATTTTTGTTCAAAAATTGACTAAATATTTTCGCAATACCAGCACAAATAAAGCATTATGTATATTTTCGAATACATTCCATGAAGTATATAAGTTTCACAATCACAGATTTATTTTCCGAACATAAAATAATGATGTTATATCATTTCTTTTGTTTTTCAAAACAGAAGCAATTAGGCTGCATTATGCTTAACGAAATGTTTGTAATCTTACATTTCATTTTTTAATCATGAAACAATACATGCTACAAAATTTTAGAAACAAAACTAGATATACTTTGAAACATAAGTAGAGAATTTAATTACATTAAGCATTTACAATAATGGTGCAACTTACCGACAAAGCGATTCAGATATGGTGCTAATGTTACAGGTATAAAATGATAGATAGTTACAGTAATTAAGCTCAATCAGCATTCTTTATTATTGTTGTAGTGTTAGCAGCTGGAAAAAGAAACTTTTATCAGGATTTTAAGTACATTTTATCTTCTGTCTTACCTTGTGCAGAAGGACGAAAACATACAATTAACAATATATCATCGAAATAGATGTAAGCAAATATTTATACCGTACATTATTATAATACTAGTATAAAAAAATAATTTCATGTGTGTACGAAACATTTGTAAAAATATTATCTCGTCAACGTTTTATCTATTAATTAACTTTCTAGTGACGAGAAACGATTTTAAAAACATACTTACACTTTGCCATTCAGTCATTAACACTTGGATCATTGTTAAGCACTATATTATATAAGGGATAACTCGATAATTTAGTGCAAAACTTAAATGTATTTTTATTTCAGTGTGGAAGTAGGATATAATTTATAGGATACAACGATTCCAGTTACTGCAATAGCAATTTCTTTTAATATTTTTATAACCAGAAATATGTGCATTTTAATATGTTTACATTGAAATACCTTATATCGACTAACAAATGAATGCACAATTTAATATTTAAATTCGTAAAGTATTAAATAAGACAGTAATACATTCCCTAGAACAAATTTTAGATTAGATTTAGCTTTATAATTATTACAGATTAATTCCATACTTAAAAGGCTCAGTTCGCAATTGTAATTCTGATAGTTAAGTTCTGCAGTACATTATTGAGCTATTCCATACGGATACCATTGATATGCTGGAATTTTTAATCAAGGCTTCCAAGTGTAAGGAACGAAATATATGACCACCACTCGTTTAATAAAATACTAAACGAGAACTATCATTAATTTAATTGAGCTCTGAGTAATCACTAAATATGATTGTACTTTTTGTATCAGAATGATATATATTCCTTATCTATATATTTGTTACTTTTTGCAACAAGCATATACATATACAAGAATTAACTAGTAATTATCTGATTAGAATTACAGTTTTGAAACTGACTAAATTTTTTAAGTTAGTGGAAAAGAAAAATTCTGCCGCAGCATAAGTATATACATCTTAAAGAATCAAAATGCAATCAATATTTACTCTTGAAATGTTAGAGAAATTATAATAAACATGAACAAATATAAGAATCCAATGTGGTCATATTTGTGTAGTCAAATGACAGAACATTATACGTGTGATTTTTTAAATTTTACTAAATTATGAAAAATCAGTCTTTAAAAATGCATAAATTGTCACTGCCCCCTTCTTTAAACTACAAAGCACAGAGATGTTACTTTTTTCCAACGTCCAGATTTTATGTAAGAATAAATGCACATATCTCAATTTAGAGAAAAATTAGGCATGTTATAATTTGTCATCAGACCACGAAATCTTACCATTTGCTAATATTATTAATATTATTCTACTATAAATATTAATTAATATACTTTAAATCCATATTTTATTAATAAGACTTTTATTCAAAAAGAATGAGACTGACATAATAATTAGGTGATTTATCGTAAAAGAAATGTTGCTAAGGGATTCTTCTCTTTCAATGGCTTTCAAAACTTAGCAATTCATATTATTATCCTTTTGGAACTACAAGAAATATTCATAATTTTTCATTTTTTAATGATAACTTATTATATTTCATACAAAAATTTGACTTATTGAAATGTTTAAATACAAAATTATTCTTGCTTCCTGTACTTAACAGAGAAAATTTTATTTGTTTATTAAATTATTAAAAAGTTTTTGCAACATAAGAAAGTGACTGATACACAATTATTATGTCTTTTATAATAGAATTAAACTACTAGGTACCGGGAAAAGTTCATGCGAGTTCTTAAATCAAAATTTAAACATGGAGAACGTTTTTGTAAAATAATTTTACTTTATTTGATACCAATGGCATCATTCATTAAACTAGTGAAATATTAATTGAAATCGAACTTTAATTCACTGCTAACAAGAAAACTGCACGAACTTTTTCCTGTATCTAAATATTAAGATGCTTAAAAGTAATGGGATTTTTATCTAAATTTTATTCAATTTATCACGTTTATAAAAAAAACTGAATTCCATTTGTTGCATTTAGAGTGCCATTTATTTTGCATTAAAATAATTTACATTTGTTTATATACTAAATGCAAACTTATGCCATAATATTTTTCTTTAATGTACAAAGATCAAGAAAGCGCCATACATTAAATTTTTCAAATATGTACCTTTTTATTTTCAAAATTTAGTTGAAATGTTCATTATTTACAACAAAATTAAATATTTTTCTAACAAAATTTTTCTTAAATATTTTTTATAAGCAGATGCAATATTTGAGTCTAGTATTAGTCTTATTTTATACAGAAGTTATTTAACAGATTTCTTAGTGTACTGCATTTAAAACTTCGTTGTTTCATTTGAAATACATATTAATGTATGCAGTATATAAATTTTACATTGTGACAGAAACGAATGCTCAAATACAGTGTCGTTCCTTACATATTGAAAATTTAAAGATCTATAAGTAACCAAGAGGAATATTCCTCCTTCTAGACATGTTAAGAAGCTAAAGCAGAACCCAGAGAAAGCTGAAAGAAATAATGGGAATGCTTTAACAAATTAGGAATAAGTCAAATTGTTTTTAATCTCAAAGAGACTACTACATAAGGGTTTCGGTCTTTAGAGGCTAGACAGTATATTTGTCATATGACATGGCATGTTACTTTTTTTCCCATGTTAGCAATAAGATTTGGTCTTCCAACAAGTGATACATATGGGACTACAAAATCACATGTTTTGTATTGCCTTGACATTGATATTCCAGATATCTGTAATTTGTACTAATATTTCCAATTCTCGATTAAACAATATGTTAAAAATGTACTCTTTCTGGGAAAGTGCAATAAAATATGGGAAATAAATATAAAGCAAACCCTTTCTTTCAATAAAATAGTTCACGTTATTTTCATAAATTTTATACTGGTTATCCATAATTCTCATTTTAGCAGAATATAATCTGCTTGTTATATTCATATAAGAATGGAAATACAAAACGATTATATGTTATATAAATCATATTTTTAACCTGCAGAATAAGAGATTGATATTTTGAGATATTGAAAAAAAGAAATAATAATATTATTAAAATATATTACCATAAGGTAGTATTTAAAATTTTAGGAAAGTAATTCCTTAATTAATTTAAAATGAAAAACTTGCAAGAGATAGATATAAATACAAAGTGTACTTGTTTAAGATTTAATTTAAATATTTTACATACTTTACAACTATTTTTTATCTTCACTTTCTGGTAAAATAATTATTATGTACCTTTATAAATAACTATACAAGAATTTTATAGTAGGTAAACTAAACAGTGATAAAAATAATAAAATTGTAACAAGTGATCATAAAAGTAATGATAGATGCAAATATCAATTTGTTTATTTTTTTAACAAATAAACAGTTCAATATTTTATGCAAACTGAAATGTAGACGAAAATAACTATTCAAGTAAATTTGCAATATATTGTTCTTTTAAATGTCACTCATATGTCCCGATTTAAGAAAATGAAAGATGATTTAAAAAAAGAAGCAACTTTTTGTTAACATTTTTTAAATTTATACACTTCTATCTATTACATTTGAAGTATACCTGACCCTCGATTTATGCAGAAATACAGAAACCACACGGATTCGTTTTACGCGATTGAAAATCGTGTAAATAGAGTCTATTGGTACAAAAGAGAACAAGATATTGAAAAAAAAAGCTGGTATAAGTTTTAGAAATTCATATTTACTTCACATAGCCAAACAAAAAAAATAATAATAACGACATATCAGAAAACAAAAGTATATTTTCTTCGGTGTTATAAAATTAAGATCACGCATAAAAACTAACCGCGTATAAAAGTTCCGCACAAATCGAGGGTCAGGTGTACACAAAAATAATGCAAAGCGTTAAAGAAATCAATGTTAATCTTAAGAATTATCTACATTGAAGTAATTTAATATAACAATAACAAATTCAACAAATTCTTTTAAATGAAAAGTAACAATTCTGTTGCCTTAACTTCGTACTTATCTCATTGTAAGAGTAGGCACTCTGAGGAACAATCATTTTACTTTTATTACGATAATCTTACAATGGCAAACAGCAAACATTAAAAATCCATAATAAAGTAAAAGAATTAAAAAAGAAATATAACTCCTTAACTTTTCAATTATATAATATTTCTTATTTATGTAAAATTTAATTATATAATCTGCAGCGTCTGTAATGTATCACAAACGTTAAAACACAAAGAAGCAGGAAAATTCAATCTATTTTAAAATTGAACAATTTATTACGAGCCAAACAGGATGACAAAGGTACATACCTTTGTTATATATTATACTTGCTTAAAGTCACTCCTTACACGATATATTAAATAACTGAAAGTATGAATTTACAAATTGAAAATTAGTACTACAAACATTCTCATATTTAATTAAAATCCTTACATCTAGATGAATCACTCAAATGCACATTTTCTTTGACCATTGTGGCGTAGGTAACAATAATTTTATACACACTGACTATTATTGTTTCTGTGAGCAGCACGTAAATAACATGATTATCTTAACTAAGTCCTGCTGTATATCATACTGTAGTACACACTCTGAAGTTATTTTCTATGTTCGAAAACACTATTAATCTTTTATGCACTCTTGTTAAGCATAACTTTGGTGCTTTATGATCAAGAATTAATGATCAGAAATTTCAAAAACATAGTTGTTAATGTTTGATAATGAATTCAGCCAAAGAATTTATATGTCTTGATGACAGGACTATCTTGCAGCTTGCTTAGGTTTTTCTTCTTGCTGCTTCTTAAGTTGTTTTTCTCTCATTCGTTCTGCATCTCTAAAATTACATAGGTAATTTTACCAACAATAAAGTAATATTTGAGAACATTGTGTGCAATTAAATATTTTCTATTTTTGAGCAATAATTATAATAAAAAAAATATCTGAATTTAAATTATAAGTTTCTTCAAGATTAAGATACATACTATTACACATCAAACTAAACATACATTTCAATTAAGTAGGTCAAAATAAATTTTCAAAAAGTTTTAATATCACAGAGTTGTGCACATAATTTATACCAAGTTAGTACCTTGCTTTACGCTGTTCCAATGAGAGTCCTTTATTGCTTTCTTGTTCAGCAGCTGATTTTTTTACAGTTTTTTTCATATTTTTGGCACGTGCTAATTCGCGCTGGTTTCCACCTATTAAGAAAAATAGTACACTTTTCTAATAAAGCATATAGTAAACAAAACATAATAATTACTAATTATTTAAAATAATCAGATAAATAAGACAGTTAACTAATATATCAATAACTAAAAACTAAATCCAATTCTAACCAATTAAATTTCATTTCTAAATTCAAAACATTTAAGTAAAAAAATTAAAGTTAAAATTTATAAATGTATGTGTTTATAGAATATTTTCAAATATTATAATTCTGTAATAAATGATTATATATAGCATATTACAAATAAATTAATAGAAATAAAACTGTAGCAACGAAACGAACCATTTTCAGAATTATTTAGAAGCACCGCTTTTCTAACAAAACTGTCATTAAAATAAAATACAACGTTCAAAATTGAAGATTTATCTATGAAAAGTAAATCAAGAACATAAAGCACAAGAAAATTCAGTAAATAACAACTGCACATACAAAAATTGAAGGAAAAAACAAACCCCCTACGAATGAAATTGAAACGGAAAACAAAATTGAATTGTCTAAGTGACAAAGCATATCATTCCATTTCGTATATAAAAATCAATCAATATCTTGTTATAAATAGTACACGTAATCAATAAAAGTCTAATTGATCAGAAAAACTTATATTTAAATATAAAATCTTCGATCCTAAAGTACTCCAACAGACAAATGGCAGACACAAAATATGCGGTGTTCCAAATTTTCTTCAATACACAATATTTATTTCATACACGATAATATGCAAATATTTGTAAAAACTTACGGGTCATTCTTTCAGTTCTTGATCTCCGATAAGCAAGTACTTAAAAATTTTGTCCCGAGAGAGTACCGCGAAAAAGCACGGCCGAACACCTCAACTCTTCACAACTATAGACTAGTTTCTAAACCAAAATAAATCTTGCGTCGTCTCAGTTGGCGAATATCGATGAGTCCGCCATCTGTATATAAATTCAATTTTCACTAAATTTCCAGGAAAAGCATATATTATCTATTGCACAAATATGTACAATTTATATTTTAAACATTATATTTGAAATTGAAACATAATTGCGATTACGGAACACAAATAAGAAAGAAAAATATTTTTCATATAGAAATGTGTAAAAGATAATTAAAGTGGAATAACTAAAAATTATATCCATTTAATTAATACTTTTGAAAAGAAATAAACAAACTAATTATTTCTATAATATGTCATAATTATATTTTCCTTGTGTAACTTTATATTGCCGTTTCATTATATTTTCCTTTCTTCATAAATGCATTAACAATCTCTTTTGACAAAATATAAAACAAATTTGACATTGAAGACATGTTAATTTTCAGAAAATCTCCGTAAAATGTATTTGTTTCATTTACTTACTTTTAACTTGTTGTTTCCTGTTTTAATTTGATATATCTTTATAATTAATCATGAAATGAATGCTTAAAAATCTCGTTTTAGTATTTAGCTACTGTGTTGTCAATTTTGGTTCTTTAAAGTATTTTTAAAATGTTTAATACGTACCAAATTATAAAATAATAGCTAACGACAAATGACAACTCCAATTTTCCATGAAGTATAAATATTTACTTGCCTTAATAATATCACCGACGAGAAACAGGATAGACTAAACATTTTATGAGACTTCGTATCCAGTAGTCTGAAATACCGATTGTGTAAAAAGAGCAGACGTTTTGATATGCCCTCTACGATTAAAAGTGACGAATTTCAGAATTATTACAGAAATTCTGCGGTAATGAAAGTTGTTGGTAAGTTAGTTGTCAATCTACATTACTGACAATCGTCATTTGTGAAGTTCAGATAGAACACGCAATCTATATCGTAGCGTTGTAGTCAACCTTAACTCTGTATTTAAGTGATGGAAAATAAAATATAATTAAAATATTTAAGCGGTATTTTTGTATTTTTCAAAATGTTTTATACGCTTTTGAATGCTACATATAAGAAAGATCTCTTTTAAATAGTTTGTGTCTTTCGAATGACTGGCTCGAAAAAACAGCCTTTTTTAATTATTTGCAGAATGATAAAATTAAAATGTTCTTCGTAATTTTGTAATGTGGATATGAAAATACATTGTATGCAAAATTTATTTTAAATTTAATTTGTGGTTACTTTCATATTCTTTCTTCATAAGTTACTGCATCTTATAGCAGATTTCACACTAGTTCAATTTTATCTCTTCTATATGCCACCCTTGATTCTTAAATTCATTGTCCATGGATCGTCCCATTTGTTAAGATGTAAACACGTGCCACCCCTTTAACTGGGAAGTCCATGTTGCTTTTTAAATTCATATTATGTCTGGTCATTTTTTTAAACGAACTGAATGCATTTGTGTAACGCTTCGTGAATGTTGTACATACAATAAGTAAAATCTTTTGAATTCAATTAAAAATTTAAAAATAACGAAATGTTTATACGACAAAATTACGAATGCAGCGGTGTAAATTAATGTCGGAAGAAGAACGAAAATACACATATTCATTTAAATATGTTCGTATCACACATTATAATTATTGATATTTATTTAAATTATACGTGCAAGGAATTACTATCAAGTATTCTATTTTTGAAACAAATGTGTCAAACTTGAAAACTATATGAATGACAGTGATATGACAACTTGCGATTGGGAGCATCATTATAACGTTGTTTGAATATTATGCATGTTACATTAATGTAATCTACAAAAAAGTATGACCTAAAATTTTGTCATTAAAATGGAAGTGTGTTGGTTGTCTCGAGTTATAGCTCATCATCCTTATACCATTTTATTGGGAATACTTATATTCTCTTCAACATGCTTAATCGTTCCCTTAGCTGTGAAAAAATTCCCTGATTTTTCTGACCCTCAATTAGTAAGTATATAAAAACTAATGAAAATGTTAAATATAAACATTAATTATCACATAATTTATTATTTTTGTTTTTATAGGGCTTTGAAGCAAGAGGTACAACATTAGCCCAACGGCTTATTGCTTGGCAAAATTTAATGGAAGCAAGTAAATCAGGAGGACAGCTTACTGATAACCCTTTAGAATATTATAATTATCTACGCCTACAAAAGCAACAGGTAAACCTATTATAAATTATGCATGAAAATATTATAGTAAATTTTGGACGAATTAATTGTTATTGAGATTAAATTATACTTTAAAACTTTGTAGAATAGAAAAAGAAAGAAGGGAAAAAAGTGTCAAAAACATGTTATCAATGACAAGAAAGAAACAAATGAAACTGATGTCAAAGATAAATGGGAAGAACTAATAAAATTAAAAAATGATAATAGTTTAGATACAATAAAAGAATATAAAAATCCAGACCATGTTGACAGTGATAGCTTCTTCTGCAATTTACCTTCTTCCGTTTATGCTCGAGTGGTTATTGGTAAAAATTCGGAAGATTCAAATTTATGGTCAATGGAAGGTGTATTAGCACAATGTTATATCGATGGAGAACTTAGATCAAATGTTCACTTTTCTTCCTTGTGTCAAATGCAAATGGAACACAATGGTACAGCACAAAAATGTTGCAGAAGTTGGTCGCCAGCAAATTATGTTGCACTTTTATCCAATCGGAGTTCTTGCTTGGGTGTAACAGAAAGTGATCTCACTCGAGTGGAAACTCTCTTACGAAAATGTGTATATTTCTATCAAAATCTTCAGTTAACATCAAATTGTGCAGAAGATTTAAATTGTCAAAAACATGTTCCAAGCGAATGTTATCTACATAATGCAGCTTATCATTTACTGCATTATTTATTAGACACTGACTTCATACCAGATCATGTAAGAAGATTGACTCTTGTACGATAAAAATTGCTGTTTATAATTTTTTTAAATAATTTTTAATGTTTTTATTCCAGAAACATGACTCTAAAACTAAGTCAAATTTAACTCTGAAGTATGCAATGATATTTTTACCAATTGCTGCAAGTTCTGCCACTTTGGATTTCTATAGAGAATTAAACAATGGTGGTTTATCATATGGAAAGTTCTGTGTAAAAGGAATGCAATTAGGTTTAAAAACTACGTTGTTCGATCGGTTATTGGTATCAGATTCTGTTCTGTTACTTACTGGTTTTGCGTTCGTAACAATTTGTATATGGGCGTATACTGGCTCCCTGTTTTTAACTGCCACTACCATTATTGCTGTTATCTTTAGCCTAGGCATTTCATATGCACTATATACTTTGGTTTTACACATTAAGTTTTTTCCATTCATGAATTTATTGGCAATTGTTGTTGCTGTAGGTAAGAGTCTACAAAATAAAACATAATACTATTTCATAATAAAATAATTTATTTAAATTAATGTCATTCATTTATAAGGAATTGGTGCAGATGATGCGTTTATATATTGTAAAATTTGGGAAAAAGGAAAGCAACAAAAAATATCAAATAATGGTTTAGTAAAATTGGTGCAAGAAACAATGAAACATGCTGTTCCATCCATGTTTGTTACATCTCTAACTACTGCAGTAGCTTTTTTTGCATCAGTTGTTAGTAATGTTACAGCCATCAACTGTTTTAGGTAAATAACTAAAATTAGTAAAAAATTATACAAGTTATGTGTTACAACATTTTTTTATTTTCAGCTTATTTTCGGGAATGACTGTTATTGCAAATTTCTTCTTAATGATTACATGGTTGCCAGCATGTGTGGTAGTATCAGAACGATTCAGCTGGAATGTTTTGTCTCCTGCAAATTATATAATGCGAAAAATTATTCGACCATTACGACTGTTTGGAGAGAAAATAGCAATAAGTTTTAACATATTCCTGACACAAACAGTATTTGGTTTTCGCTGGTGTTGGTTACTAAGTTTGAGTACCATAGCAGTAGTATGTTGTATAATTGTTTTTAAATATCCGGGCCTACAATTACCAGATACTGCTGAGTTCCAATTATTTGATAGTTCACATTCATTCGAGAAATACGATTTGGTATATTCTCGCAAGTTTTGGTTTGAGAAACGTGAAATGGTACGTCTAATAAGTTACAAACACTTTTAAACACAAATTACAACAAACGCTTTTTATATGTTGTTTAGAAAAATTGTTGAGCAATTAATAAAATAATTTATATTTTTAGATTTACAATGGAGACGTATTACCGCTAAGATTCGTATGGGGTATCAAACCTATTGATAATGGCAATTATTTAGATCCTAACTTTATAGGTACACCAGAATGGGATGAATCTTTTGATATTTCTCATCCAGAGTCACAATTGTGGCTGCAACAATTTTGCCGAGATCTGCGGACTCAACCTTTCTATCGTGAAACTATGGGACCTTTACTTCCCAATTGTTTTATTGAATCATTATATGATTGGATGAAAAGACGTTGCCAGCACCCCATTAACCCGTATATAAATTACATGCCATGTTGTGAAAAGAATAAATTTCCATACAATTCTAGTGTATTACAACGATGTGCAGCTGAAGCTAATGCAGATTTCTATCGTACACCTTTATATTTGTGGGCTCGTCATGGGGTTTCTGCTGGTATAAAATTCTTAAATGATCCTACTCTCACTCAACTACAAGTTTCAAACGAAACGAATTCAGTAGTGATGCCGATGACTAAAATCAAAGTTTTAATTGTTGAATATGACAGTGTATATAATTACAGCCTTTCTTATTCAACTATGAATCAATTTTTTAATCAGGTACATGTTTTATAAAAATATCTTATTAAATAGTTTTAAAAAATGTATTAAACAATAACGTATTTACTATATTTATATAGGTTGAAGTTTGGATGCAAGATCAGTTAAAAGAAGCACCATTAGGTATGCGTGGTGGTTGGTTTGTTAGCAGATTAGAATTTTATGAATTACAGAGGACGTTATACGAAGGTACTCTTTGGGCGATAGGAGTTTCATTGATCCTAGCTCTTACAGTTCTGGTATTCGTAACATTTAACCCTCTTATAAGTTTATATGCAATTATAACAATTGGAGCAGCAATCATAGTAACAGTTGCCGGTCTAATTCTTCTTGGCTGGAAGCTGAATGTTTTAGAAAGCGTTGCGGTGTCTACAGCTATTGGTTTGTATTTATAAATTTGCTAATTTAATTACCGTGTAGAAGATACATTAACACATATGTACTTTTCAGGTTTAACTGTAGACTTTAGTTTACATTATGTGGTAAGCTATAGAGCATGCACGTCAAAAACGAAAGAAGACAGGGTGAAAACAGCACTTTCGCAAATGGGTGGTCCAACTTTAATGGCTGCTCTCACAAGCGGTGCAGCTGGTGCTCTTATGTTACCATCCTGTGTATTGGCATATATTCAGATTGGTATATTTCTGTTACTGGTAATGGGCATAAGTTGGATATACGCTACATTTTTCTTGTGCCCATTGTTAGCGATTATTGGACCGTCATCTCATTTCGCTCAGTTTCAGTATCCAAGGTAAAGCTCTTAATATGTTTATATCTTGTTTCCTGCACTTAAGGAAGAACAGAAATTATAATTTTACTGGTTTTAATATGATTACAGTTTAAACGTATTGTGGAAGTACCTTTGTAAAAGTAAGCCAAGAAATGTGCCTGAGAGAAATACAGATAATTGTAGGACTAGGAGGAAAGCTAAAGGACGGGGATTGTGGTCAGAATCAACATTAAGTACGTCTAGTACAGTATGTCAATTTCACTGTAATGAAATAGAAACTTTTACGAGACCGCCACTATCATCATCGCCACCCCCATCTCCGTCTTCGGCGTTACTTCATTAAAGTCCGAGTCAAGTGGTATTTTTAGTTTAAAAATGAAACTGTCGGTACAAAAGAATGTTAATCATACGATCTATCGTCCTTCAAATTTTGAATTGGTGAATTCGTTCACGTGTAATTTGTGTCCTATATAGGGTTATGGTCATGTGTAACTAATGTGTAACTGGCTGTGTTTGAAATAGTTGTGTGATAATTATTTATATATCTCTTTATTATTAACATTCATCGGGCTTCCTATATAAGTTACGCGTATTGTATATACACTCTAAATCAATTGTGATACGAGTGGAGAGCTTAAAGTGCCAAATGTTTAGTTTTTACTGTTTTTGATAACATTAGCTGCGTCTTCTGTTTATAGATGTAGCTTCAATGTGACAATTAATATTTATAGGATGCATTAATGTTAGATCTGCATTTACATATCTATCAAATGTATTTTGACTTGCTGTTTACATACAATTTTTTTGGACATGCATTTTTTTTATATTTCAATTCTTTTTAATTATAGTGTAAGCTATTATAGTTACTTGTACATGTAACTTAGTATATTTTATAGATTTTTTATTATGTTTTTTGTACCCTAATATTTTGATTTCATACGAAAAGGCATACGAATGTATTAATACAGTTTGCAAATATTTTAATGAAAGACTGTATATACAGACTACTTAGCTTGCAAATTGAATATTATTATTGTTATAAATGTAAATGAATGAATGATTATTGTAAATTATACATATTGTAACTAACACGAGTTTGAATCAACCATTTCATTGGATAATACTTCCAACTCATAGACCATGAAATGTATGTGTATACATCTGTAATTATATTTACGAAAAAATGATCGAATATGACATCGTACACGACTTTCTTTCAAAACATTAAAAGAAGACTGACAGCGTTTTATCATTTTCATTAGTAGTTGTTATGAGTTATGCGAAAAACTTAAAAAGAAAACATATGTTCCTCTTGAATTAATTACCATTCCATTGATTTGAATAAGTAGTCGTATAAATTATTTTCTTATAATATAACAGTATTCTAATATGTACAGTATTTATAAGCTTTCCATACACATTCTCTTATTCTTTTAATCATTTTGAAAGCATTTAATCGTTTAAAAAGCATACTATATATTACTTATTAATTAACAATTCATACAGTACAACTTCGTGCTTTCGAATAGTTACAAATTGGTGCTGTTATGGAGAGTGTATTAAATTAGCTATTAAGTGTGTCTGTTTACCGATTACTCAAACACATTATAAGTAATGTATGTCAGAAGAATATTTAATCTGAATTGTCTAGAATGCCTTGACTCTCTTCAATATACTTACATATGTATCTGTGTATGTAATAATATATTATAGTGAGCTTGTTATGTATGTTATACGTACTT